GTAACGTTCGTAATGTCAATAAACACATTTAGGAAAAGGGAAAATGAATCTCCCTTCTTTGTTTACGAGAGAGAGGTGTGTATTTTGATGGAAACATTAAGAATATTTTCTTAAAATCCGATTTCTAAATAAACAGAGATGCATATGAGACTTCCCTGTTATGATACACATGTGTAGTTTGAAATATTAGCTGGAGGAAGCTTCGTGTTAAAAGGGCGAGTTTTTATGCAAATTTAGTATTATGTTAGTCTGTATAATTTCACAAGATGTGTATTACACCAAGAATTAAGTTGATACTTAGGTTTTAATGTATTTTTAATTCTGAAAGGTATATTTTGTTGTAAATTTCGATTTGGTTATTGCTCTCTTTTGATATTTAAATTAATCACTAATCGTTTCTAAAAATGTTATTTTTTTAAAACAGTAACGTTATCAATCTCTTTAGGTCCAACAATTGTTTCAACATTTAGCTGAGGAATATGTACATCACGAAATAGAAAACAACTGATTCTGTATTGACTATCAAATTTCAAGTTGCTTGGGATGTCAGTTGGCTTTTCTCTAAGTCTTTCAGTATCGATCTGATTCTGTCCATTCTGTCAAACAAGCTCTTTCTGAATAATAATTAGAAATACTGTTTAAAACAACAATTAAAGAAAACCTTCACTAAACCTGACGTAGTGAATTGAAGTTGAGAGTGAAAACTTGTAACTGGAATATTAGTTTGCAAAGTAGTTTACCATTGACCACTTAGTGAATATTTAAATTGTTTTGTTATAAATTATCGTATTATACATGTTTTAACAAAACTTATTAGACAAAACCTAATAACATTTAAAACGACAAATTCACGAAGACCATGTTTATTAACGTCAATACTTTCTGTCTTCCTTAGATTTACGGTTGTTATGATTTGGCAGTAAATATTAAAGAGCTGCATAATAAGAATGTACAGAATATTAAACTTGAAGCTTCTGTAGTTGAGAAAGGAACAGGTAAGTTTTATTACGAAGATTACTTCATTTATATAACTGTGGTTTATAGCAGTAGTAGTTAAAGTATTATAATTTTACCACAGAAATAGAAACATCCGTATGTTAAGGACAGATATTCTTATTTTAGTTTAAGCTTCAGGTTCCTGATAAGAAAGCAGAATAAGACATTAGTTAGATAACTTGATAAAAATATGCTTTTAAATGTGTTGAACAAGCTTCAGGTTCCTGATAAGAAAGCAGAATAAGACATTAGTTAGATAACTTGATAAAAATATGCTTTTTATGTGTTGAATAAAAATAGAGTTTTAAGATCCCATTTTAGTTAATCAATAAGTTTAATCCGCCTGAAACAAAAATATGTTCTCTTTTCAAAGGAAAGTTAAAACACAGAAAGTCCATTTATATAACACAATGCAACAGCTTATTTATATTTCGTTTATGTTTAAATGATTATTACAATATTAAAACTATAAGAAATATAATTAATGTTCTGTTAATTATATACTTCAAATACAAATGATATTATTTACTGTCGACTTTTTCAACCCAGAGAGACAACAAACTAAAATTAACTTAGATTTCACGGTTGTATAGATCTTGTATAAGTTTAAATCTTTCATTGTTTAACAATGACCAATTTTTAATTAGTGAAATAAATATAAATATTATTTTTCGATTTCCGTTATAAAGGTTATAAAAAACGATCGTATCATTTTTAATTTTTTAAGAAATAACGATTTATTTAAGGAAAAATATATATTAATCTGATATATTATTTGTTCAATTTCTCAGGTGTTGAACAAAATACATCCAATACAATTAAATACCACAATTTTCGATTGAAACTAAAGATAAATGGTGCCACAGAAGAATTTCGGCCACTACTTCCATATTTTGGCAGAGTAAGAAAACTTACTATCTTCAAGGTCTAAAATTCAATATTGTCATTATAATTCACATAGAAGTATTTCTATACACGACGAACACCAATAAAATAAGTTTGTTACCGTTTTATTTCTCGGAAGTTTAATGGTAACTATTTTCAACAGCTGAGTGTTTTCTTGGTATAATACTACATTGTGAAGTATTTCTCTAGAAATATTTACTGTATTATTTTAGTGTTCTTCTGATTTCATTTCTGAATACATTTTCAAATAACCTCGTCCTTTTAGAATTTTCAAAAATATTACTTTAAACCAAACGAACAAAGGGATATTTGGTAAACCCTTAAGGCTAACATTTTTAAAATAAATTTTGCCTACAATTGTGGTTATACCTGTACTGATACCTAGGATCTCATAAGGAAAAGATAAAAATTAAAATAAAAATTGTTCAGAAAGCTATTTGTGGACGTATTGCAAATACAATATACGAAAGAAAAGAAGATAGTATGGATCAAAGCATTAAACAACATATATCTATTGAATACTTGATAAGAAAGCTTTTAACACCTTATATAGTCTTACGTTTTATTTGTAAAAGATTATCTAGTTTTGTATGCCCTAACCACTTCTAGTGCTTCCAATACTTACTCTCTTTTTTTATGATTCAGGCCGAAGCGAAAACTCCAAATGGTAAGCCAGTTTCCGACATTACACTGTCACTCTGTGCCCATATTTTCGGCAGATCTAGAACTGTTGAGGTTCGTTCAGCCTGTAAAAACTATACCACAGACAAGGATGGATTTGCACATTTTGCTCTCCCTGCTGTTTCAAACCAAACGTCAAAAATTCAACTTAAAGTAAGTTTATATTTGAATTCAAAAGTTATGATGTTTTACTTGAATGTAGTAGCATAAAAAACACATGAATAACTATTTGAATTTAATAATTACTGGAATATTGTAACTTCGTATTTCTTCATTCGAATTTGTTGATTTAAAAATACATGTATCAAATCTGTCTACTTTTTAAATTCAAGTCATTATTTGGAGCTTCAAGATGTGAAATTTGTTAACTTTTAATTTGCAAGTTTTTCAGCTATAATTGTTACATTAGCGTGATAAATAAGTATGTTTGAAAATGGCATGTGCATTCATATATTATTTTGTTTGTTTTCGTTGTCCCCCGGTGGGACAGCGATAAAGTTACTGACTTACAATGCTAAAATCCTAGATTCAATTCACTGCGGTGGATCCAGCTGATAGTTCATTTTGGCTTTGTTCTGAACTAACTAATTAACTTGTTTTTGGCCTGGCATGGCCTGATGATTAGGGCACTCGACTAGAAATCTACGGGTCTCAGGTTCAAATCGTTTTCATCGAACATCTCTGCCCTTCCAGTGGTGGTGGCGTAGTAACGTCACGATAAATTCCAATATTCGTTGTGAAGGAGTAGCCCAAGAGTTGACTGTAGGTAGTATTGACTAGTTGACATCCATTTAGTCTATCTATGCTAAATTATGGACAACTAGCACAAATGGCCCTGTTTATTCAAAATAAACCAAAACAATTGTTTTCGTTGGATTTGTGCATAACTTCTACAGATCTATCAGGTAGAAATTAAAGATGGCTAACACTGACAGCGTTTGAGCAGTTTGCGCGAGTTTCCTAAATAAAAAAATCCAATGCTCTGAAGAATTCTAAATGTAGACATGGTTGTGAATTAAACATATCGTGCCTTATTGAAAAAAAAAGTTTTATAAAACATTACTGAGTGCAATCCCTTT